TTCCTTCAACCTCCACTTCATGCTCCATGTTCTCCACTTTGTTCTCCATCAGCTTTCTACATTTCATAACTTCTCATAACCTCCAAATGAGTAGAAGGCTGTTACATGTCTTGCAATTATATAAATAATAAATATTAAAATTACAAATTTATGGTGCCAACATTACCCCTCGCGGCTATTAAAAATGATATTTACTTGAATTTTTGAAGGGCCGAACCAAGCACATGACTAATCTAAGCAACAAAGTGCTTCAAATAATATCTATAAAATGCTTTGAATGATATAATAGTACCAATAAAGTGTTTCGAATGAGTATGAAATTATGACTAAATGTCTCGAATTATATATATGCCTTGAAAGAATATTACATATGTGCTTTGAATCGGCATCAATCCTTTGAAGGAAATTAAACAATTTTATTTTATTCGTATTTCGAATACTTAGAAAACTTGAAGCCTTTTGAAGTAGGTTGATGTTGCTTGCACTTAGAATCATTTAAAACCTCATGTTTTCATGATTCACCTTAACAAGTTGTTTTATAGACTAATAACAAGCTTCGAAGGTGGTATAGAGGACCAAAATCATCCTTCGAAGGTCGAAGGTGTCGACAAAAAACGAATTACATCCTTGGAAATACTCGGTAAAGCTTCGAAGGTTTACAACCACTATTATTGTTTTTTCGAAACTGTTGTTGATGCAAGATGGAGTGCTTCGAAGCTTACAAAATTATGGCAAAAGGGCTTTCAAAGCAACTTTTGGCCAACATTGTAGTTATTTAAATTTTGTGTGTTTTGGTCCACATATAATTAATGAAAATATTAATTTTGTACTTTGAACCAATTATTAACTCTCTGAAGACACCAAAACCGTTGTTCTTCAAATCAACTTTTGTAGAATACTAGTTACATTTTCATGCAAAAATGTTTATCAATAAAAGTCACTAATTATCATGCCAAAAATGGGCATTATTTGACAATTAATTAATTGTCATTTTACATATATTTGAAGAGAGATACACATTTCGAGAGCTTTCTCGTCCCATGTTACATTCCGAAGGTGTTTATTAATGACAAAATCACCACTCAAAAGTCACATATGTTACTAAGCGATCAAAGTTGTTCTTTAAAGTGCTCACGGCATCTCTTCGAACTAAATCCAAAGAGTTGAATTACTATAAAATTAGTTTGGCATTTTAACTAGCCATTAGTGGCTATAAAATGATATTTCAATGAATACATATAACAACACAACCATTTATTCTTTGAAAGGAGGTTTAACAACCCTCACATATTCTTAATATCATGCTTCGAAGTGTCTTGGGACATACTTTGAAGGTAACCACAAAACAAAATGGTGATGATTATATGGATCAGCTAATAACCATATTTTTTGCCCAATATATTGCAATAACGAAATATTATTTGTTAGCCATTCCATCAAAGTCAACGTTTGATGTGATCCACAAATCCAAAATGAATTTTGAACAACAAAAGTCATGGTATTGTGTAACCATTGAAAAATGTAAGACATTTTGAATTCATGAACAGTGGCTTGTTCATTATTCTTGACCATGTTTGGTTTAAAAACATAACTTTCACCAAATTGATTTTCAAAATTATTTGGCAAAATAGACTGTTTTTTCATGTTAGCCATTAATGACTTATGAAAATCCCCCATAAGTATGTTATTTTTATGACATGACTCTTTAAAATTAGTTTTTGGAGCCCCCAAGCCATGCATGGAACATCATTCATAGTCAAATGCTCTTTCGTTATGTTAATTTCATAATTTGGCTGTTTAAAAACGGATTCTTGAACTCCAAGAGTCATTGATGAAATTATATTTTCACTAATTTCAGTCACAAATGACTTGAAAACATTTTGTAAAACCCCACAAAATTAAGTCATTGAAAATTGACAAGAATGGTTGATAACTCATGTCTCCATTGGCAAATTTCCATATCAAGTTGATAAATTACTCCAATTAAATGGTGTATTTTTTCTTCTACCAAACAATATTGTAATGGATAGAAGTTTGTTTCATCAAGAAAATTGATCTCTTCTTGAAGATTCAAAATTTTCTTGTTTACACCAAAATATTTCATCTAGGCTATTTAGAATGGATGAATCCAAATTATTTTTTATTTCTTACACTTGACGTCCCATTGGGCGTGCCAAAATTGTTGGCTTATTTTTCTTACGAAGGAAAATACCATAAATGCGAGCGTGCCAGTAAGGATTGAAAAATTCTTACAGATTAAATTCAAGCCAATTATCAAGCGATTGTGTTGACGGTTCTTTTGCCTTAATGAAGAGGATTTCAAAATTGCCAAGCATAGAGAAAAGAAAAATTAACAGAAGAAGGGAGACGGAGAAAGATGATTAAGTGAACAATCGGGATGATTAAGTGAACAATCAAAGTAACAATTACTTACCTCTACTTCTATGCTTTGAAAATGAAGTGCATAAAATGCTTCGAAAAGGAAGTGCTGAAGTGGTTTCGGTGGTCATTTCGCAATTTCGGCCCCCGAACGGGCCTTTTAAGTCTTGTATTTTACAATTTTCCTTCTAATTTTCTAACCGAAGATTCAATTGAGGTCCCGTTTGTTCCTACAAGTCTATTTAGGCCTTAACCAGCTGTCCGTGCCAAGTTTCAGTGGTTTCGGTGGTCATTTCGCAATTTCGGCCCCCGAACGGGCCTTTTAAGTCTTGTATTTTACAATTTTCCTTCTAATTTTCTAACCGAAGATTCAATTGAGGTCCCGTTTGTTCCTACAAGTCTATTTAGGCCTTAACCAGCTGTCCGTGCCAAGTTTCAGTGGTTTCGGTGGTCATTTCGCAATTTCGGCCCCCGAACGGGCCTTTTAAGTCTTGTATTTTACAATTTTCCTTCTAATTTTCTAACCGAAGATTCAATTGAGGTCCCGTTTGTTCCTACAAGTCTATTTAGGCCTTAACCAGCTGTCCGTGCCAAGTTTCAGTGGTTTCGGTGGTCATTTCGCAATTTCGGCCCCCGAACGGGCCTTTTAAGTCTTGTATTTTACAATTTTCCTTCTAATTTTCTAACCGAAGATTCAATTGAGGTCCCGTTTGTTCCTACAAGTCTATTTAGGCCTTAACCAGCTGTCCGTGCCAAGTTTCAGTGGTTTCGGTGGTCATTTCGCAATTTCGGCCCCCGAACGGGCCTTTTAAGTCTTGTATTTTACAATTTTCCTTCTAATTTTCTAACCGAAGATTCAATTGAGGTCCCGTTTGTTCCTACAAGTCTATTTAGGCCTTAACCAGCTGTCCGTGCCAAGTTTCAGTGGTTTCGGTGGTCATTTCGCAATTTCGGCCCCCGAACGGGCCTTTTAAGTCTTGTATTTTACAATTTTCCTTCTAATTTTCTAACCGAAGATTCAATTGAGGTCCCGTTTGTTCCTACAAGTCTATTTAGGCCTTAACCAGCTGTCCGTGCCAAGTTTCAGTGGTTTCGGTGGTCATTTCGCAATTTCGGCCCCCGAACGGGCCTTTTAAGTCTTGTATTTTACAATTTTCCTTCTAATTTTCTAACCGAAGATTCAATTGAGGTCCCGTTTGTTCCTACAAGTCTATTTAGGCCTTAACCAGCTGTCCGTGCCAAGTTTCAGTGGTTTCGGTGGTCATTTCGCAATTTCGGCCCCCGAACGGGCCTTTTAAGTCTTGTATTTTACAATTTTCCTTCTAATTTTCTAACCGGAGATCCAATCGAGGTCCCGTTTGTTCAACACAACTAGACATATTAAATGAAATGCTTGTAGTGATTTGAAAAGTAAATTATGAAAAATATACTTACAAAAGTGTTTGTCAATAAGATTCCTCTGATGGATAATCATTTTCATCAACCTGCATGCCTGCCCGATCCTTGGTCATCCTCATAAACTTCTCAATCTCTTCAAATCTTTTGTTTTGCATTTCAATCATTTTAGCTTGCTCTTGTGCTACCAGGTTCTAGGCTGCAATTTGTTCTTGTTGGATCTCGGACAAATTCTTCAATGACTCTAGTTCTTTTTGTAGGCTCGAAACCACCTCAGTATGTGCTTGTGCAGTAATAGAAGATCTGGATGATGATGGTTTTGGACCAACTCCAAAGCCTTTTAAGTATCCCGATTTCTTTCCAAGAATCTCGATTGACAACTGCTCTTGAGTTAAAGGTATTGCCCCAGGCTCTAAAGAATCTTTATGTCACTTTTTCAAAGCTTCCTATCAATTTGTAAACAACTTCAACAAATACCACCATTTACATAAATATGTAACTCTATTGATTGGCATACTTACATGTAATTGACCACATATTGAGGCTACCCAATCCGACTTTCTTTTAAGTATCCCGATTTCTTTCCAAGAATGGCTTCACGCGGAAAATGAATCACCAAATGGACCATCACATCAAAAAATGCTGGTGGAAATTTTTTTTCTAACTTGTATAGTATGAATATTATGTGATCTTCTAATATTTCCAAATTCTTCATCTTCAATGTCTTCGAGCAAAGCTCTTGGAAGAAATTTCCCAACTCAAATAATGCAACACAAATATCATTGTGAAGATATCCACGCATTCCAATGGGAAGAAGTCGCTGTATGAGGACATGACAATCATGACATTTTAGGCCTGTTAACTTATCACCTTTTGTGTTCACACACCTTGAGATGTTTGCTACATAACCATCAGGATACTTAATTGACTTTAAAAACTCACAAAAACCATATCTTTCATCTGAGGATAAAGTGTACAATGTTGGGGGCTTTTCAAAAGACCCATCGGCACGCCTTTTTAAGTGCAACTCCTTCCTTATTTTCATATCTTCCAAATCCATGCGTGGTTTTTCTGTGTCTTTGTTCTTCCCGTCTATACTCAGTAATGTTCCAAGCAAACTATCACATATATTCTTCTCAATGTGCATAACATTAAGATTGTGTCGGAGTTTAAGTGTTTTCCAATATGGCAACTCTAAGAAGATGTTTTTTTTTTTTTTGTCCAGTTCAAAAATAGATTTCTCCTTTTTCTTTCTTATTGGTTGGATGCTTTCCAAATGGTTTGAATGTCCCTGAATCCAATTGTTCTAAGATTTGTTCCCCTGATAACTCTAAAGGTCTTGACAGGAACTCAGTCTTATCATTATAAAGTCGACTCCTCCACCAAGGGTGGTCATCAGGCAGGTAATGACGAGCGCCTGTGTACCCTATCTTACCTCTCAACCGTTGTGAGGAAGCATTTTTGTTACAGGTGGGACAAGCCAAATAACCTTTCGTACTCCATCCTGACAAGTTGCCATATGCAGGAAAATCATTAATTGTCCACATAACAGCTACATGCATTTGAAAACTTAATTCAATTGAGGCATCATAAGTAAGCACACCATCTTCCCACAACTCCTTCAACTCATCAATTAATGGTTGCATGTAAACATCGATATCTCTCCCTGGTGCTTGTGGTCCAGGGATAAGCAATGACAGCATACTAAATGATTGTTTCATACATTTCCAAGGAGGCAAGTTGTAAGGCATAACAATCACAGGCCACATATTGTACGAGTTGCTCATGTTTCTAAAAGGATTGAAACCATTAGTGGCCAACCCTAACCTCACATTTCGACTCTCTTGGGAAAACAAAGGATGTTGCCTATCAAAATCCTTCCATGCCTCACCATCAGCCGGGTGTCTCAATATCCCATCATCTACTCGTTTCTCTTTATGCCATCTCATATCTATTGTTGTTTTTCTCGACATATATAATATCTACAACCTTGATGTCAACGGGAAGTATCTTAAGGTCTTGTGAGGATTTTTTTACCTTTTCCATAATTCAACTTGTATCTAGACTCTTGACAAATCGGACAATTCTCTAAATTTGCATTCTCTTTCCAGAAAAGTGCACAATCATACTTGCATACATGAATCAACACATATCCTAAGCCTAAGGCACGTAAGAATTTTTTGGCTTCATAAAGGGTCCATGGAATCACTTGATCACTTACCGGTAGAAGGTCCTTTAATATCCCCAACAACATGTTGAAAGACTTATTGCTCCACTTATTCAACACCTTCACATGAAGCATCTTAACAACAAATGATAAAAGAGAAAACTTACGACACCCAGGGTATAACTCTCTTTGAGCATCATTCAACAATTTGTTAAAGTTGGGCACGCCCTCTTTTTCAACATTGTTAGCCACATCATCGTCATTGTCTTTGTCATTGTCACCGTCCTCCTCATCCTCTTCATTTTCATCATCATTTATGGTAGTCCCCATGTAAACATCTTCTAACAAATTTAGGATTTCATCTTGATCTTCGCCTGTCTCTGCTTCTATTCTATCCCCAACACTTCCAAAGTCATTGTGATTGTCATCATTCAATGCATGAGATTGATTCATGGGAACAGATTCCCCGTGATGCACTCAAGTCTTATAAGAAGGGGACATCTCTTTCACAACTAAATGATACTCCACAATTTTACAAGTATGTCATTCACAATTCAAACAGTCCATACAAGGGCAACGAATCTTATCATTTGGCCCTACATTCATAATTGCAAATTGAACAAAAGCCTTCACCCTGTCTCAATACTGGGAACTCATCCTATTCTTAAGTAACATCCAACTCTTGTCCATATTTGGTCACCTACAAAGCCATGGTTATGTGAAATTCCTTTGAATTAGAGAATTTACAAGATTGTGGTTCCATATCTTTTGGTGACCCACAAGATTATGGTTCCACATTCCTTTCATGACCAAATGATGCATCACAATAGTAAGTGATAAACAAGAATTACTATTCAAGTAAAATATGCAATTTAGAGTAAAGGGTGAAAAAAAAAATCATATAATAAGAGATGAAATTGATATATAGATTACAATTGCTATATAAATTGTGGTCTTGAAATTGTTACATATTAGTTTACTTATTCTTGGAAAAGCATATTCATCTATTTTAGCTAATTGACGTATTTCTTTGTTGAGTTAGATATAAAATTGAGATTTTGAAACCAAATATAGAGCCATCCCTAATAAAATTTTAACTAGTTTCATATTGATGCTCTTAGGCCTGTTTTGGACTTATATTTTGGCTAAATAGTCAATAGAAAAAAATAATTAATAAAACAAAATGTCATGTCATGTCCTGTACATTAATCAACAACTTTTTCTCTTACAATTATCTATTCACCTAAAAAAAAAAATCCACAAATCATCCAAAACATAATTCTTTTTCATTTCATAAAAAAAATTAAAAAATCAACTAAAATAGTCAAGTTGCAAAATGACGCATCTAGTCCCATTTTTTTTGACAACCAGACTTATTAAATTTAATAAGGTTATATAGTTTCAAGATCATAGGTGTAGAAACTAAAATGACTAACTTGATAAATAAATTAAAAATGCCCTAAAATATAGTCAAAGCTTACTTGATGTAGTAATTGCCCCCAACGAATGATTGCAGCTTTTTTATCTCTTTGCATTAGCCAATAACCTATAACATTTGAATTGTAAATCAAATTTTAAATTAAAATCGCACTATACATGAAATTAATGGAGAGTGGACATGAAATGAATGTTATATGCCTTTACTAATGGCCTCGTTTTTAGCAGGATATGACAAGCATGGAGTATATTCAACAGTAATAAATCATGTGCAGCTTGTCAAAGATTTGAGAAATTCAAATTCAACTCAATTACCTAAACAAGCTGAGGTTAAAGATCTGAGAAATTCAAATTCAGTGGAGTGACTATCCTTAATCTCCTCTTCCCTATCTCCCCCTTTTTTGCCTTTTTTTCTTTCTCACCGACTGGAGAATCCATTTCTTTTCTTGTATTGTATATGATCAAACATAACCACAATAGATGCTCATTACAAAAGTAACAATTCATCACCAATAACATATATCTTTAGCCATCAATCATCATAAACCCAAATTGAAAGATCTAATTTAATTCCTATGAGAAAAGCCAAAATTTAAAATAAATATCTATTCTTTAAATATTTTCTTTTACATTGGTATCTTTTCTTTTGTTATTTTGGGATTTGTATGTTTGAGTGGTCACATCTCAATCGGAACCACAATTCTATCTCAACGAAAATGACATTCTATCAAAATTCTTACTCTGAGGAATCGCAGCTCTAGCGCACATATGTAAACCCAAATAAGAGTTTCTTCCTGCAACTAAGGAGTTGACAGTTAGGTTTTTATCCAAGCATAAAGAATCCTCAATAGGTTATAGGTAAGTGTCTCAGGCATAATGGAAGGAAGGAACAGCCTTTCGAGGGATATTGAAGAAAATCCAGAGTTCTTCACATTTGAAGTCAAGACCTACGGAAGATGTTCTTGATTCAAAAATCTAACATGCAAATCTTCAGAGAGTGACCAAAAAAGCTAATTTGCAGAATCTATCCTCATAGCATGGATCAGATCAGACAAATAGTATTCACCGCAGTCTAGGCAAACTCTAAGACAACCAGATTACTGTAGATCACATCTGAAGCTGGCAATATGCAACACTACATAAAAAAGCTTAAACAGTATAAAAAATTCCTGAAAATTTTCCAACTATTATAAGATAACAAAACCATAAAGTGAAGAAAAGAGATCATCTACCACATACAGCATAATCCAAAAGATTAATACAAGAGCTGCTGAGTCAAGTCTAGCACAATATCACATATTAATTAGTGTAGAATCATTCAAACAAACAACGAAGTGTTGTCTATGAGCCTTTGAAATGAACAACAACAACAACAAACAAACAACGAAGTGTTGTCCTGTATTCCAAAATCAGTTCCAAAATCAAAATATCAGCCCCAAAATCAGTCCCAAAATTATAATATCAGTTCCCAAAAAATACAAAATCAGAATATCAGTCCCAAAATCTAAAAATCAGTTCTAAAATCAGTCTGAAATTCAGAATATACCAGTCCCGAAAATCAGTTCCAAAATCAGTCCAAAAATTAGAATATATCAGTCCTGAAAATCATAATATTAGTCCGAAAAATCAGAATATCGGTCTGAAAATTTAGATTGATGACAAAGAAGAAAAAGAGAAAGATGAGAGAGTGAGGGAAAAATCAGTCCCAATATCAATGTTGTGTTGTGTTCTGCAATGCCGAACAAGAGAATGAAATTGATGATAAAGAAGAAAGAGAGGAAGATGAGACAGTGTGAGAGAGTGAGAGAGAGAAGGAGAGGGAGAGGGAGAGGGGAAGAGAGACGAAGAAGAGGGAGAGAAGACATACCTCTTTGTCTTCTGTTGTGTAGCTTCAGGTTGTCTTCTGTTGTGCCGCTTCAGGAGAGGGAGAGGGAAATGAGATGAATATTATTAGGTCAATCTTGTTTATTCAACTAAAGGTCATTAAAAAAAAAAAAGACAGATTCAAAACGACGTCGTTTTGACAAGATATTTATTGGCGACGAAAATCATTATGTTGCCATAAATATCATTCACCTTTAAGCGACTGTTTTAATTCCGTCGCCAAAAAGTCACAATTGGCGATAAACAGCTTCGTCACCATATATTAATTTGGTCGCCAAAACTTTTTTAGCGCTCCCGCACAAAAAATTAAATTGGCGCCAACCATTTTTGGCGACCAATTGAAAAATTTGTTGCTAATAGTGTATTTTTTGGCGACCAACACGTATATTGTCGCCAAAAACATACAATTGACAACTAAATTCAATTTGGTTGCTAAAAAATGTCACCAAAAATGCTTTTTGTTGTAGTGTCCATTTCATACTTCATGATCTTCCATAACTTTCTTCAACCTCCACTTCATGCTCCGTGTTCTCCACTTTGTTCTCCATCATTTTTCTACATTTCATAACTTTTCATAACCTTCAAATGAATAGGAGGGTGCCACATGTCCTGCAATTATATAAATAACATATAATAAAATTACAAATTTATGGTGCCAACAAATATCAAACGTAACACTTCAATGTAATATACAAAAACACTAAAAAACTTCTTAGTATATTTTTCTAAAGTGTAACACTCTCATTTTGAAATTATACATTTGTCCAAAACTTACTATGAAATTTTTGTACTCATTTTCGAATGGTTTGAAGAATCTTACATCCTTTTTTTGGAGTGTTATGTTTGAAAAAAGTAAAATAAAGAGTTTTTTTTAGTGTTACGTTGGAGTGTAACACTAAGTAACTTTTTTTTTTTTTAAATGTTACGTTTGAAAAAAATATACTAAGAAGTTTTTTTAAAGTCTTACATTGGAATGTTACATTAAAGAGTTTTTTTTTTTAGTGTTATATTTGAGTGTTACGTTTAGAAAAAGTGTACTAAGGAGTTTTTTTGGAGAGTTACATTTGAATGTTACGTTTGGAAAAAGTATATTACGGAGTTTTTTTGGAGTGTTTACGTTTGAAAAAGTAAACTAATAAGTTTTTTTTTTTAGTGTTACGTTTACAAAAAGTATACTAAGGAGTTTTTTTTAAGTCTTACATTTCACTACAAGAAAAAACACCTTTGGCAACTAAATTTTTAGTCACCAAAAGTCCTTTTTTAGTCGCCAAAAGTCGACTTTTCACTTTCCTCGACTAAATATTTTGGTCGCCGGTTTTGTCGCCAATAGATGGTCGGCAGAGGTATTGGCGACTAAAAAAGTTTCAGTCGGCAAAGTTTTAGTCTTCAACGACCAAAGCATTTGTCGCCAATAGTCAATTACATTTTTGAAAACTATACATTTAGCGACTAATCTTATAGTCGCCAATAGTGAGTTTTTTTTTTTTTACTTATACATTTTGCCGACTAAGCTTTTCGTCGCCAATAGTCAATCTTTTGGCGACCACTGTTTTTAGTTGCCAAAAGAATATTTCAGAAAAAAAAATAAAAATAAAAATAAAAAAATAATTACCCTCTATTGTTCCCAAGATTCGAACCACCAACCCATCCCACATTCCAAACCTTTACCAACACACTCTCCCCACTATGCCACTACAACATCACATGAATATAAATGTAACATATATTATTTATATATTACTTTGACCGGTATTAATACAAAACTATATATATAAAAATAATTATTTTTTATTCAATATAATTTATGTAAAAAATAAATTATTTACTAAAAAAAAATTAGATCACTTTTGGCGACTAAATCTATTTTTTAGTCGCCAATTGTATAGTTTTGGCTACTAATTAGTTTTTAGTCGCTAAAAAAATTCATTCCCGCCTAAAAATAACCAGTTTTGGCGACTAAACCTGTTGTTAGTTGCCAAAAACGTCCCCTTTTGGCTACTAAACTGAATTTTAGTCGCCAATTGACTCTTTTTAGCTACTAATTTTTTTTTAGTAGCCAAAAAGCTTCACTTTCAGCGACCAAACTGTTTTTAGTCGCCAAAACACATAGAATCGGCAACCAAACTATTTTT